TATTTAAAATCGGAGAAAAAGTAAGGTTACCTTTGTTTTGATCGCAAAGTTTTTCTAAGTTTCCTTTTTGGATTGTATTTTCTATTTTTTTTTCCTTTTTCATTTACAAAATGTGTAATTCGGTTTCAAAAATAATGGAGCAAATTTCACCCCATATTCTTTAACTGTGTGTAAAGTTAATCACATATCCTCACAGGAGATTTAAATTAGAGCAATTTTTACCACTTTATCGTGTAGCTACTTCACAGCAAATGTGAGAAGGAAACAAATCTGGAGTGAGTTTACTTTCAGACTCATTATTTTTTATTTTATATTTGTTAACAGTGTTTTATTCCCTGCCACTTAACTGAGGTTTTGTCTGATCATCATCCACAGTAGGAATCATCAATTAAATCTGCATTGAATGTTTGACTGGATCAAAATCTGCACATTCAGGCACCCGGGATTGCTGAAGGAAATCTATGCATTGCTTTATCTACACCTAACCAATGTAATTACTGTCATAGCTGCAGCTTATTGAACACACTTCGTAGGGCTTTGCCGGTCTTATCCTCATGCTTAAAGTTGTCCGAAATAAGCAGAAGAATTAGCTCCAGCTGTCACTGCGGTTCAGCTTTCATCCACAGCTGAGCCCCTCCTTTTTTTAGCAGCCGTGCATCCATGCAGCTTTAACTTATTGCAGCAAAACAGGATCGGCATGAGCTCAACTGCTGCAGAACCTCGCTGCGGGGCTTTCTGACCCGTCGTGTCACTGCCAGAGGGACCGGGAGCGATGATGATGATGATGATGTTGGAGTGATGAGTCATCGCATGAACAGGGCCTGACTACAGCTCTGCTGCAACTGCAGAATGCCAGAGCAGACAGGCCGGGCTCTGTTTGTGACAGCGGCCACTTTCAGGCTGACGTTAGCGTTTAGAGGAACTCATTGGAGGATGGGAGTTTAATTGTGAGCATTTCAGGCGACAGAAATCACTGAAAAGAAAGATTAATAATAAAGAAATGGTTGAATGCTCAACATGTGTATCCTAGAGGAGTGTTTTTCCTGTATACTCTTCACATGCTTTATGTAACCACTTAAATGAGGTGAATTATGTTGGGGTGGGGACGGTGACCTCTGCATGACCCAAAAAATCACCTTGAATAACTCTGACACAAAAGTAGCACAAACCGTCATTTTAACAGCACAAACCTGCACTGATGATTCAGTTTATCTGCAGTTTTTTTTCCCACCTTCTTGCAGCTGCTCATTCAGCACTTATACGAGTTAAAACTAGACACATCACCGGTTCAAATCCTGTTCCTCAGGGACTCCTGTCCTGCATGTTTTAGGTCTTGTGCAGCACTTGTTGCAGGAGGAGAAGCCCTAATTTGAATCAGTTGTGGTGGAACAGAGCCGGAACAGAAGTCATGCAGGGCAGGGGCCCCTGAGGAGCAGGAGCAGGAACAACAGAACTACCATATCCTGACAGAAATATTAATTCAGAAAGAAATCTAGATAGAATCTGCCTTTTTTCATGATCTATCTGTAAAGTGGCTTGAGATGACATGTGTTGTGAATTGGCGCTATAGAAATAAACTGAACAGAATTGACATAGCGTAGAAAAATGTTCTACATAGTGTAGAACAGCTTAAAAGCTGTTAGTGACATTTTTACTACAGTAGTTTTACACAGGTATCTGTTCTTTTACTTAAGTAAAAAAAATGCAAGCACTCCTTTGCAGTCGGGCTCTCCTTGCAGGCATTAGTAAGTAATTTATAGATATGTTATTATAACACCTTCATACATTTTATTATGCATTAATGAAGGGTAAGCAAGAGACAAAGCTGATCAGTTTTTTGCCAAACAGTGAGTCTAAGCTAGATTGCTGTTTGGAAGAAACATAAACATTTGCAAACATATTATTTTCAGAATTTAAAGGCTTATAATCAGAAACCAGGTCGTCTGCATGTGTCGCAGTGAGAACAAACGAGTCCCCGCCCCTTCTGCTGACACTCTGCTGCACCTCTCTAAAATTGTAGTTGACCGCAGACAGGAGGCCTCTGATTGGTCAAACCTACATCCGCTCTAAGCTATGCATATTTCCTCTTTGGTACCTTACCGGCTTGTTTTGTTTGTATGACCGCCATTGTGGAAAAGCGACTCGTAAAGATGGACCCGCTAGTAAAGAAAGGTGCGCGAGAACGCTGGGACCCTTTTTCCACCTGGATCCCTGTGCTTTTTGGCCCTCATGTCCCTCCGTTGTCGCACAAACTTGCCCCTTGCATTTTTCCACTTCGTCACCGCTTCGGCCATATTAAGACCCACAGCTAGTTCGTCATTGTCCCTCTTGTTGTGGTGAGGAATAACATAGCACAGACCACGCTTCGAAATTGGACATATATCAAAAATATCTGCATTATACCTGTGAAGGGCTAACTGCCACACACTGCTGCAGGAGTATAACCCGCCCTTTAGACAGAGAATAGTGCATCCTAAAGACAGATCCCCAGACCTAAGATCTAATGGACATCCAATGTTTGTTTTTAAACCTAATGTGTCTAACTGACCTAAGGAATGATTTTTTTGTTGTTGTTGTTTTATGCACAAACTACAACAAAAAAACAGACTAAATTGTTTGGTTGAAAACCATCCCCTGTCCAAAAAAAAAAATGCATTTGTGTATTAAAGCACGTTAGGAGAGTCTCAACATCCACACACAAATGGAGTGAAGTTTATAGACCGCTGATACTTTGTAATTTAATTTTAAGTGTTTATGGACCAGAAATACGTTGGTAAATCATGTGCTGTGCATGTGTGGACCTTTTATGCTTGCGTGAGCTGCGCTGTGTTTGTGTGGATCTTGTCCTGTGCATGTATGAATCCCATATGTGTATTTGTGAAAATTGAGACCGATTTAGCTCCAAACCCTCTTGCATATTTTTTTACTCTGACTCCACACAGAACTACAGGGTCTGAACATGAGATGATGCTTGTCTTTAGATCTTAATGTTTAAAAATCATAACAGAAGAAATATTTTAGTACAAAGATTGATGTTTTAAAAGGAATTGTTGGGGACCAGCCAAGGGCCCATCAAGCAAAGTAGGGAACATTTTCAATGGCTACTTCTGTAGTTT